CCTTGTAGGCACGTAGTATGACAGTTCTGATCCAAATCGAGATAGTAGTACGTGAGACTTCCGTCTGCGTAGCTGTAGATAGAGGGATAAATAATCTCTTGAATTTTGCTCTCCTCTGTTTGGATCGTTGGAGATATATTCTCAGTGCTCTTACTGGGCAAAGTGATAGATCCATCGTATCCTGAGGTCCAAGTATGGATGAGAGAGCTGGGACGTGGAATAATCTGTCTGGTTGACCTGGTAATTGGTTCTTAGCTATAAAATCCCAGCGTAGTCCCAGATGAACGATGTTATGAATATCATCAAAGCGTGTTCTCTCATAATCCAATGCATGAATCTCTGACATCCTGGCAGCCGTAGCTAGTGCTAACAGGAACAAAGTTTTCTGGGTCAGTGATTCAAACGATGTAGATTCTAACGGTTCATAAGCCTCACTTGTGAGGTGTTGGAGCACTATATTTAGATCCCAGACTGGAGCGTGAAACTTCCGTTTCTGATCCTCCAATCGGAATGCTCGTAGCAAAGCGAGTAACTCTGGGTTTTTTGTTAACTTGATGCCCGTTCTCATAGTTATGACAGAGCTTATTGCTGCAAGATAAGTGGACAAAGTTGAGCCTTTTAGATTCTTAGTTTGTCGTAGATAACATAAGTAGTCCGCCACTTGAGGATGTGTAGCATATCTGGCTGTAAATCCTTTCTTTGCAGCATAATTGACAAAACTGTGCCATTTGTCATCGTATAAGTTGCGAGTTGAGTTACGCAGGGCAAGCGTGACTGCTTTTGCCGCTCTGGCTGAATAACCTCTCTTATTCAGACATGCCTTGATACAATCCATACGTGAAGTTGGTATACTTCTGGTTTTCCGTGCACTTGTTTGGTGTGCGGATGTATCAATAGATTCGAGCGTTCTGGAAGTTGTAGAATTGGTTGTCCGATTTCTTGAATAAGATTTGGAAACCACGTTCTCGCTGGCCAGTAGGGCGCGACCAAAATCAGATGGAGGCTCTGCGTTTGACTGATTTTCCGTAAGACTTGTGGGATTAACGCTGGAGGCGGGAAAGCGTACGCGTTGAGTCCCTCCCACGATATGCTTAGTGCGTCCGTTGCCCATGCTAGTGGGTCTGGAACTGGCGATACGAATGTTGTCAGTTGTTTGTTGAATCGAGTGGCGAATAGGTCTACTAGTGGAGATCCTATTTCCATGATTATTTGATTGAATATCTCTGTGTGGAGCATCCATTCTGTCGGCGAAGGTAGGTGTGGCCGAGAGAGAGCGTCTGCTAATACATTCTTTGCTCCTGGAATGTGGCAAGCTCTGACATGTATGTTTAGATTGTCGATTAGATCGAATAATCGGAAACATAGAGACAGTAGGTTCGGTGACCTTGTTGAGCCTTGTTTGTTCACATAAAACGCCACTGTTGAATTGTCTGTGTGAATCATCAACTGAGCGTTCTGTAGTAGGTTGCTCCAGTGACTTATGGCGTTTATGACTGCTTGCATCTCTAGCAGATTTATGTGACATTTGCTCTCTTGATTGCTCCATAGGCCTGACGCTGTCTTGTAGGCGAGGTGGGCTCCCCAACCTTGTAGTGACGCGTCTACGTAGAGATGTGTTTCCGATTCCGGCTCTATTAAGGAGACGCCTACGCAAACATTCAATCTCTTGGTCCACCAGAGTAGATGAGGTTTGACGTGATCTGGTAGACTGAACGGTAGAGGGTCCTCGAGATGCGCATTGATGAGGACTTGTAACGGACGTAATTGAAGCCTGCCTCTGACTGTCAAGTCTTGAGCTGATGTGAGTAGTCCCAATAGGCTCTGCCACTGTCGTAGTGGTAGCGGAGAGAGTAAGGCTTGTGGGATTAACTGTTGGATCTTGATCCATCTGTCCTCCGGGACTACTATACGATTCTGGGCTGTTAGAAATCGTATACCTAGAAATTGCAGATCTTGCGTTGGTTCTAGGTCCGACTTGAGTAGATTTACTAACCATCCTAGTTGAGTTAGTAACTTGATTATAAAGTTCAGCTGTAGTCTGAGACGCTGTGGATCTGGATCCACTTGTATCCCGTCGTCTAGGTAAAATGCGCTGCGAAGACCTTGACGATGTAGGTATGAGACAATAGGCTTCGTCACTCTTGTGAATACCCAAGGGGCCGATGAGATTCCGAAGGGAAGTACTTTCCATTGGTAATGTTTCCCGTCTAGGATAAATCTTAGATATTTCCTTGAATTGGGATGAATCGGAATGTGTAGATATGCGTCTTGCAAATCTATGCTGGCCATGTAATCTTTGGGACGAATTAAGTTCCGAAGTTGTGGTAAGTGTATCATGCGAAACGCTGGCGGTTTGCTTAGATAGTCTCTGTTGAAGATGCTCATGTTGTATATGAGACAAAACTTTTCCTTGGAATTTTTCTTGGGCACTAGGAAAACTGGGGAGTAGAAACCTGGTACAATGTTTCGCTGATCCAGAACTTCTAAGGCCTGTTTGTTTAGAAGAGTAGCTACTGTTTCTCTTAACATAGGTAGTTGTGCCGGTTGGAAGTCGAACCTTGGAGGGATGACTGTTAACGGAGGTATGGCCTTGAGTTGTATTTGATATCCGTGCTGTAGGATGTTGGATACATAAGGATCTTGTAGTAATCCCCAGTTTTCCCAGTGCAGCTGAAGGCGTCCACCCACTTGAGAAGGTTGTACTGGAACGGCTGGGGGTGGAAGACTCCAGTCGTTCCGAACCTGTATTTCATCGTCTAAATCCGCGGGAACCTCTGGATGATCTGCCTCTTGCTGATCTGCCTCTTGCTGATCCTCCTCTGAAATTGCTGTATGGGCGACGAAAAGATTCCTTGGGACCTTTTGCTGTAGCCAATTTCTTGTCCCGTGCTTTCTGTAGTCCAGAGAATTTAGACTTGCCAGAGTATCTCAAGGATGATTGCTTAATGACATTCGCTAACGTATCCATGGACTTGATCATAAGCACTTCTCTAGAGTCCTTAGACACCTCTTTGGAGACCTTGTCTATGTTACCACCAAAGAGTAAGGGCGATGACCATGGGGCAGCGTAGAGGGATTCCGTAAATTGATTATCCCAATTGCAGGAGGCTAGTAGACCCTGACGACGAGCCATGGTAGTAGCTGTAGTAAGCGCTGACAAGTGATCTGTAAGGAACTGTTGGTCTCTTTTCTGCATGAGTAGAGCCGAGTAGATCATTCTATCTTCCTCCTCTGTAGAATCTTTGAACTTGGTGATGAGAGTTTCATTAACAGTTCTAGATCTATTCAATCCAAAAAACATTCTCCTAGAAATGGTATCCAACTGGGCTAGTTTGCGATCGTCTATTCTGTAATTCCTGGACTTGGCATCGCTGATTAACTTAAAGTTGTCATCAATCTCTTGAGCCTTGAAAAAGGAGTCCATATTGTGACCTGCAAATTTCTTGGCGTTGAAAACCGGGAAATGTGTTGATTGAAATTTCGTAGATTTGGTAAAGGCTGTATCCAGATTAGCTGGAACCGCTGCTATCGGGTCAATAGGAGGTAAGGAGATAGTGTCCGCATCATCTTCCTTCATCAAATAAGTATGAGCTGAGTTCTCGTTCTTAGACGGGGAAGCAAGTTCCAATCCATTCACCATCCAGTATCTAATTTCCGCATCCGAGAATACGATACCTTCTTCCTCTTCTGACGTAGGATCACATATAATAGAGTGAGGTGGAGTCCTAGATCTGTAGGAAGATCGACGAGAAGATTGTGGTGAACGGACTGACGAGTGGCTAGTATAGGGAGACCTTGGAGGAGACTTCCTTGGCGAACGCTGGTGGTTTCGTGAAGCTCTCGAAGAATCCCTTCTAGATCTTCTGGGTGAAGATGACTTGGAGCCACTTAACCTTCGTGATGGCCTTCTGGAAGGTATCAAGTCAGAGTCCGAATCATTATATAGGAGTCTGCTTCTCGAACGACCTCTGTGTTCTTCAGGGTCTGAGCTCGGTGAAGCACTCCTCCTCCTTGAAGCCCTTCGCAACTGGTGAGGATCTGGATCCTTCGTGGAGGCGGCCTGGGATGTTCTTTGCGAAGGCTTTGATACGGGCTGGGTTGCCCTTCGTGGAGGCGCGTTTGTGGGCTCTGGGGCCCTACGCGAAATCATAGCGGGCTCTGGGGCCCTACATGACTTATTATGGGTTGGGCTCTGGGGCCCGCGGCTCTGAGGCCTCTGTAAACCGTATCGGTCTTCCATCAACATCATGATTTGGTTGACCAGGTCGTCTGGGACGGTCTGCGCTGGCGTTGAGGCTGTCCTCTCTGTGACAGTGACGGGACCCTCAGTTGTAATCTCAGGCGTCAGCGTAGGCATCTCTGGTTGCATGCTCTGTGCTGAAGTGACGGTAGCCGATACTGGTCGCATCCTATGCCGTACATCTGGAATGATTTTCGGAAGGTCATCATCATATAAACATAATTCTGAAACAGGAAGAATGTCAGAAGAAAAGTTTTTAGTAGCCCTCGTGGATTTCCCTTTCGACGAAGCAGTAGCCCTGGGGGTTCGGAGCGTACGTTGTGACGACGTGGAAGCTGTTCTAGTCTTAGACTGTGATGATGGAATTTCCTGGGATGCCGGTTGCTTCGTGGATATAGCGGACTGCGTCCCACGCTTCTCCCCCGAAGGTAACTCGGACGGTAGAGGGTCGTCCGCCAACAGTTGACAGGGTATATCTGACTCTGATCGATTAGCCATGGCTGAAGATAGTTTCCGAGATCTATCTGCAGCCCGTCTCAAGACGGAATATAAATATTTAACAAAGGCAGAATTAGACAAATTAATACATAATTTGCAGCGTGAAATGATAGAGCATGGAGTAATACAGCTAGGGCATACTAAATGCGGATCGGCAGCAGAGTAACGTAATTTACAAACAGTGCAGATTTTCATTAACGCTATCTGCTGAGCAAACACGGCGGACCGTGAATAAAGCAGCAGAAACACGAATAAATATCAATGCATGTTGAATAAGGATACTAGTTACACCTGTATAATTGAATATAAGATGTAACAACTAAATATAATTTAAGGATATGGTGTGTAGGGAGACACAGGCGCTCTCACGTCCTGCTCACTGGGCGAGGAAGGAGAGAGTGAGGCACGTGGCGGGAGGTGGCGCCCTCGTTTCCCGCGCTTGCGAGGAGGGAGATAACTCGTGGTGAGTACTAATTAGTGATTTTTTATTGAAGGGAACTTCAATTGGGAGATACAAGTGTTCCACTATGTTCGCAAAGAAGAAGAAGACAAGCAAATAAGCATGAGTCAGGATAAGGAAAAATATGTAAATCTTGCAACATTGTCATACATTTCTGATATCTGAGTTCATGTGACACATCTCCGATTATAAATGCACTGTAGCTCACCTGGATATGTTCAACAGTCTTCACCAAACACAAGTTTCCACAAATGTGCACGTCAGAAGTGTGGTGTGGATTGTATTGGAATATAGCAAGCTGTACTACTGGCTTTGGTTATTGCCGCCATACAGAAACATGTACACATACAATCAAGAAATGATATTCAACAGAAATCACAATCAGAACATCGTTCCCAGTTAATGGAACAAATATCAGCTTTTACTGTGTTATACAGCAGATACAAAACACCTGCTATCAAGAGGTTCAAGGGCATATACACATAGCCACTCAAAACACCTGCTATCAAGAGGTTCAAGGGCAAATACACATAGCCACTCAAAACACCTATCAAGAGGTTCACTGGCAAAACACCTATCAAGAGGTTCATGGGCAAATACACATAGCCACTCAAAACACCTGCAATCAAGAGGTTCATGGGCAAATACACATAGCCACTCAAAATACCTGCTATCAAGAGGTTCAAGGGCAAATACACATAGCCACTCAAAACACCTGCTATCAAGAGGTTCAAGTGGGAAATACACATAGCCACTCAAAACACCTGCTATCAAGAGGTTCATGGGCAAATACACATAGCTACTCAAAACACCTGCTATCAAGAGGTTCATGGGCAAATACACATAGCCACTCAAAACACCTGCTATCAAGAGGTTCAAGGGCAAATACACATAGCCACTCAAAACACCTGCTATCAAGAGGTTCAAGGGCAAATACACATAGCCACTCAAAACACCTGCTATCAAGAGGTTCAAGGGCAAATACACATAGCCACTCAAAACACCTGCTATCAAGAGGTTCAAGTGGCAAATACACATAGCCACTCAAAACACCTGCTATCAAGAGGTTCAAGGGCAAATACACATAGCCACTCAAAATACCTATCAAGAGGTTCAAGGGCAAATACACATAGCCACTCAAAACACCTACTATCAAGAGGTTCAAGGGCAAATACACATAGCCACTCAAAACACCTGCTATCAAGAGGTTCAAGTGGCAAATACACATAGCCACTCAAAACACCTGCTATCAAGAGGTTCAAGGGCAAATACACATATCCAATCAAAACACCTGCTATCAAGAGGTTCAAAGGCAAATACACATAGCCACTCAAAACACCTATCAAGAGGTTCAAGGGCAAATACACATAGCCACTCAAAACACCTACTATCAAGAGGTTCAAGGGCAAATACACATAGCCAATCAAAACACCTACTATCAAGAGGTTCAAGGGCAAATACAAGGGATAGTCAACTGTCAATTTCAGGAAAGATGTTTACAGAGAAGAACAGTTTGTTTAAGATAATTTAGTAGCATTGCAGTATAATTGCAATGATAACAGAAATGGTTGTACAGAAGCCGTAAATAGTTTTATGAACAAAGCTGCTGTGCAAATACACTGAAAATCTTATTGAAACCACTTGAACAAATGAAAGTCATTAGTGATGGGAGCATGGAGAACAGATTTGTGATTTCTGAGGATATTATGTTAACAGGAAAGAAAATGCTGATTGAAACATTTAAGGAAGAAAGTCCAAATAAGACCAAATATAAAATATTGCAAAAGCCCCCAAACAGAAACACTGTATTTAGCTACATTGGTAACCCTCATACCATACAGGTAATCACACTTTGAAGCAAATGAATGAGTAATGGAGATGGCAATGGTTGAAATGAAAAGAGAAAAACAACTTCAAAATTCAAAATACTTAATAGTAACTGGAATATTCATGTAGAGTCCCACTTCTAACAACATGATGAACAAAATTGACTCATTATTGTTTGTAAATATAGCTGCCATTGTGAAAATAGCAAAAATCGTTCAATAAACTGAGATGTCACTATTGGAGGGACAAGCAAGTGCAGTCTCAAACTCATTGTCTCTGTGGTTGCCAAGGAGACAAAGGTCCAGAGTAACAGAATATGCATTTTCAGCGAATTAAAGAGAATGGTTCAAAGTACAAAGGTCAACTGAAGGTCACAATTTAACATATCTCAATAACAGAACACATACTCTGAAGCAAAATTTATTGTGACTTGAAATCTTTTATTGGTAATCTTGTGAATGATTTTTTTTATTTGGAAACCCACGAAGATGCGGGTTGGAGTTGATCTTCAGTAACCCATGCTTGTTGTAAGAGGCGACTAATGGGATCAGGAGGTCAGGCTCGCCGACTTGGTTGACACATGTCATCGGTTCCCAATCACTGGATTGTCTGGTCCAGACTCATTGATTTACAGACCGCAGCCATATAGCTGGAATATTGCTGAGTGTGGCATAAAACTAAATTCACTCACTCACTTTGGATTTGAAACAGAGATTGTGGTTAAAATGTTCAAAGAAACTCAATTAAGCAGTTGTTGTTTGAAGTGCACAAAATTTGCTGAAAGAATGACCAACAATGTTCACTTGTTCATAAGGCCACACAGACGCTTATCATTGCAATAAAAAAAAGAAAGTAACGCAGAAAATGCTTGGAAAATGCTTTTTGGTTTCAATATTAATATGATGAATTTGACACAAGATAAAAGCACATATATCTATATGATACATGTACGACTCTACCTAGTTGGATATTAACGCTTTACTCACTGAAGTCTTCAGAAGTGCATAAGTCAGAAAAACACCTCTATTCATCTGTAAGACAAAATATATTGTAGATGTCAACTTCTTCCTTATTGTACACACAACGTTTCAGGGCTATTCCTTGCCCTTGCCCTGAAATGTGTATACACTAAAGAAGAAGTTGACATCCATAATATTTTGTCTTACACTTGATTACCAACTTCTATATGCCTGTCAAGAACCTAACCTCTAGATTCATTGTTCTGGAACAAATTCAAATGCCAAGACCAATGCATTCAAACAAAGCACCTCCGACACAGGTTCCAACCGGCAACTCTTACAGCTTGGAGCACAGATGGCAACAGAGGTGTATCTGTGACAACAGTTTGTTGACTTCTACTCATCATCTATGCATGACTTCCAGCCCAACAACCAATTATTCGACAGATCAAAAAAGAGCATATGAGTGAAGAAGAGCTCTCTTCACCGTTGAGCGACGTTTCCATCTTTACTGTACTGTCACAGGCAGGACACGTGTCTGGGGGAGTACAGGTGGATCTTACATCTGGCCATGCATTCTGGAAACGGATCGTTTCAAGGTGGGGACATAATGCTCTTATGTCCCCACCTTGAAACGATCCCTTTCCAGAATGCTCTAGGTTGGGATAACAGCTGTAGCAAGGACACCAATGAATGTGATTAAAGGGAACTTGAATGCTGTGAGGTACGTGGATTTAGTAAATGGCCTTCTACCGTTTCTACATGATAATGCCAGACCACACATTGCATGAGTTGTTCAGGAGTATCCTAATTAGACCAAGTGTTTGCCACTAACATGGCAATGTTCCCCGCCGCTAAAGAAGAATGAAATGTAACATATTTACTAGTGTTTATCTTTTGGTCACATAGAAGATTACCATTTGTGTTATGTAGTTTTTAGAAATGGTCACTTCTCAGAATATTCTCCTATTTCAGGAATAGAGTAGATGTGAATGTATACATGCAGATGCACACATCCACCGTCAGTGTCAGAGTGTATTAGGGCTGGGACAGGTCCGATTTCTCTACCCAGGTACCCCACCCCCTATAACCCTACCCTACCCGGATACCCATTATGTTAATTACTGACATCATATTTGTAAGAAATGGCAATATATTCCTCAGCTCCGAGGCTAAAATTGGGTGCAATGTTTTATGATATATTGCGTTTATATAAGTTTGATAAGTGGACCACGGTGTCCCCCAATGTAGGCTGTCACCAAATTTGAAGACATTGGGTACAACAGTTCATGAGATATCGTGTTAACAAGTATCGGGATGTACGTGTTCCCATCCCTAACGTACGTACGTCAAAACTGGCCAAGAAATGGACTGAATCAGGTTTCCATAATGGCAGGCATGAAAATTAGATTCTAACCTCTTGAACAAATAGGGGAGTGATCACTGGCGAATGTGAAGTTTCAATTTCATTGGTCCATTGAAGGGCGACATAAACCCCCTTTCAGTCATGTAGGCTGATAGAAACCACTGAATATTGTTTTATGACACAATCAATGCAATAAAGACAGCAACACAGATAATGTTCCAAAACTCAAATAAAAATGGAACTTAGAGAAACTTAACTGTATATACCAAAATATACAAAGCTATTTTTTTCACAATTAAGAAGTGTTTGTTACGAGCAAAAAATGTAACCCAACATGAATACTTTTAACATTTAAGAAGTGTGTGTCACTATCACCATGCACAACAATCAAGCTTCTGTCAATCAAATAAAAAGAAACTCCAGTATGTTGGAAACACTATTTCACCAAATCATGAGTATCACGTGAAGCCTGAACAAACTGCCATATAAGTAGTGCAACAATCTGACAGTGGAGGCACACCACTCGTTGTCTGGAGAAAGTAGGGAGTTAGATTTTGTTATTACATGTACAATAAAACAATGTAAATTAGTTGAATCATATCATTACACAGATTATTGCTTTAAATAACACATATTTTATCATGTAAATACAAAACACATCTAGCACAATAAGAAAAAATGGTATCATCTTGAAGTTAACTGTGTAGCAATGACAAGTGACAAGTGACAGTGTGTAGCAATAGTGTTTGAGGAAGAGGAAAAAAACAAAACAATCAGTTAAACTAAACACAAACATAATAACAACTTGATATAACAGAATGCAATTTATCATATCAATATACCTCTTAACACAACTACCCAAACACTGCAGTCATTCTGATCTAGTCCTTTTGAAACAAAAACATATGGTTGTATGATGCGTCACTGAACATCTCCATGGGTATGATGACTGAATGTCACACATGCTCACACATATGCCCCTCAACCTGCACACTGACACGAAGACCTAATCAAGAAACTGACAACACATGTTGTCAGCCTGAACAGTTAACTTGCAATGAGAGGCCAATCAAAGAAACTGACAACACATGTACATTGCACCTATCATACCGTTTGTATATACTTTTTATGTTGTATATAAATGTAAATATTATTTATGTACCTCTAATGCTGCAGTTTGCAGCCTGAGTGAATACAAGTTCAGTTCAGTTCAGTCGCCCTGTAGTGTCAGCTTGCATTGAGAGGCCAATCAAAGAAACTGACAACACATGTTCTCGCCCTATAGAGTCAACATGCATTGAGAGGCCAATCAGAGAAACTGACACCACATCTTGTCAGCCTGTAGAGTCAACTTGCATTGAGAGGCCAATCAAAGAAACTGACAACACATGTTGTCACCCTGTAGAGTCAACTTGCATTGCGAGGCCAATCAAAGAAACTGACAACACATCTTGTCAGCCTGTAGAGTCAATTTGCAGTGAGAGGCCAATCAAAGAAACTGACAACACATGTTGTCGCCCTGTAGAGTAAGCTTGCACTGAGAGGCCAATCAAAGAAACTGACAACACATGTTGTCAGCCTGTAGAGTCAACTTGCACTGAGAGGACAATCATAGGACAGACACAAACACATATACTTACATGCAGTCAACTACTCATCCAACAAGGGTACAAGGGGGTTTCAAAATCGACCACTTCTACACTTCTAATCTAACCTTAACGCACAGCCACAATGTTTGATTACAGGAGTAAGAGTGCCTTAATAGGATATATACATATAATTTCTCGTTTCCCAGATGTATATCATCATTAATACATGACTCTCGCCAGGACAGACAAAAATGTTTACTTATGTTATTTTCTAGTTATCCAGTATCCACCTAAGGAGTTGACTATACAAACTGTAAATATAGTAACACCAAGCTGGTCCCATTACAGGTGAGTGTTGAACCCATCAGTGCAGTACTGCAGGATTCCTGGTGTACACTCAGGGCAAATGTTTCAGTATAATGGAATGTCTTGATAAATGAATGTCAGCAACCTGTGGCAGGATGTATGTATGGAGATGTGGACAGGGACGTTTTTTTAATATGATGGACAAAATACAAATAGTTCAATTTGACTTGCTGGGTATTCTGAAGAAAACTGTGTGAAAAAAACTGTATGACTTGAAGCCTGGACTGTTAAATATTCCAGATGGCCCCTTACATGATGATCCTCTGTGACTGACTGAGGCAGTGAGCTACATACACGACAGGCCGCGTGAATCTCTGTCCTCAGTAACTGTGAATCATCTCATTGTCAGGGCTTTCAAAAGGTTGTAATATTGAATATGTAATCTGTACATAACATGAAAGGCCTTCGGGCCTCCGTTCAGACTTTGTACACCTCCTACACCACAAATTACACTCTTGCTAGTTAGTCAACAATAGCTGGGGAAGTTTCCAAAGTATATTTGATTAAAATTCTAAATGTTCATTGATCTATGACAAATTAAGATATGTTTTTTCAGGAATGATAATTCAGTTTCAAACATAATAGACGATGATGATGATGAGCTGACACAACAAAACCTCATCGCCAGTGAAGTCATGATGGCCACTGATGGCACAATGGACAATGGACACATCATCCAATATGCATGATATGTGCGAAGTTGAATATTGACAATTATCGCATATCTATTACAGACAAGCTTTTATATCCTACCACTTGGAGACGATGACGTTCACGATGGACACACTGACTGTCTAAGGGCTAATACATTAGCTATTGATCAGCATACTTACACTTTACCTTCATCATATGAGCGAAATATTCTCAAGCATGGCGTTAAACCCAATTTCACCTCACCTCACTTACGCTTTACCATATATTGACTGTAGGCATCACTTGTGCACCGGCAAGAGCGGCAAGTCTTTCCTCCTGGAGACTGCAACATGACGACACGACTGAGTGACTTCCCATATGTTGTGACGGGACGGGTGTGTGACTACCTCAATATTCCCAATGCCCTGGGTAAGGACTGGCGATACCTGGCAGGTAAGAATATCTTTTTTGACATTGTCATCCACCATTGCGATCTAACTGAATTCAGATAGGCAATTTTCTAATGGCCACAGTTGCCCTTTCAGCCCCTAACGAATATGACAACATGAAACATATTTGTCCGGACAAGCGAATTTACGGATAACGGAATCTCTTGCCAGTTACTTCCTCCACTCACATTCAGATTAAAGACATCTTAAATACATCAGATGGTTCTAGAATTGTGCGAATTGTATTTCGTGTTCTTCTGGACATTGTTTTATGTCGGGGAATAAAATTACCCTGCGTATTTTGTCAGGAACGTTACCAGAAAAACAGACCAGCTTAACATATGGTTTTTTTCTGAATTTATTGGTGATTCGGTTAAAATATACTGTACAACACACCTTCAAGGAATTTTTATGCAATTGTCGCAATAAACTGCAGGTACCTGAAACAAATAGTATATCAGTAAAATTATATACCAGCATCCGACATTTTAGTTGCAGCGTTTACTATATATGTTCCAAATAATAATGACTGATATTGTACGAAGTGTCGAACACTTTGATCTGTTAGTTTAATCACGCACCACTGCAAGAGATCGCCCGCTGTGTTGTCTGTCCTGTGGGAAGACGTTATGTTGGCGCATAATATTCAAAATGCCATAAATGTTGCTTCAGACTAACGTGTCAAAGATATATTAATTTCTTATGCATCCATTATCTGTCACCTATCATTCAATTAGAGGCCATGGTTATATTTAATGCAGATAACGGGGAGTTATCGCCGAACTTAATGTAAGCAATATTGAATGAAAATGGTATGAGAATTAATAAAATAGATTGCAAACTTAAGTCATTTATGTGTGTAGATATGTATGTATTTCCATTATGTTGGGAATTCTTGGAAAGACGTCATACGATGTTGAGCTGATCACACTTCGCTGCCCCAGAGACCCATGTGGGGCTCTTCTTAACGACTGGATCTCAACACATCCTAGATCTACTGTTGCCGACCTGGTCATCAAACTGAAGCACATGGATCGTCTGGATGTCATCAGTGTCCTGGGCGTAGACTGGGAGAACATGTAACGGTAATCTACGGACGAAGGAAGGACATGGAGCGTCTGGATGTCATCAGCGTCCTGGGCGTAGACTGGGAGAACATGTAACGGTAACCCACGGACGAAGGAAGGACATGGAGCGTCTGGATGTCATCAGCGTCCTGGGCGTAGACTGGGAGAACATGTAACGGTAATCTACGGACGAAGGAAGGACATGGAGCGTCTGGATGTCATCAGCGTCCTGGGCGTAGACTGGGAGAACATGTAACGGTAACCCACGGACGAAGGAAGGACATGGAGCGTCTGGATGTCATCAGCGTCCTGGGCGTAGGTAACCCACGGACGAAGGAAGGACATGGAGCGTCTGGATGTCAATAGGGAGAACATGTAACGACTGGGCGTCCTGGGCGTAGAGAGAACATGTAACGGTAATCTACGGACGAAGGAAGGACATGGAGCGTCTGGATGTCATCAGCGTCCTGGGCGTAGACTGGGAGAACATGTAACGGTAATCTACGGAGGAAGGACATGAAGCGTCCTGGGCGTAGACTGGGAAGGACATGGAGCGTCTGGATGTCAGCAGCCTCCTGGGCGTAGACTGGGAGAACATGTAACGGTAATCTACGGACGAAGGAAGGACATGGAGCGTCTGGATGTCAGCAGCGTCCTGGGCGTAGACTGGGAGAACATGTAACGGTAATCTACGGACGGAGGAAGGACATGGGCCGGGTCCTGCATTGTCTTCAGTTAGAATTATGTCACGGTGATCTTCAGACCAAGACCGAGACTGAACACAATCAGTAGAAGATCAGGGACAAACTGGATCCCGATACTCAAACCTTTCGTAACGTTACGACCTGTTGAAACTCTACACTTATCATAGGCTTGCGAATGTCCTAACGTTTTATGAATCGGGACCCTGGGCACAACCCACTACAACGTCATTTGACCCCAGTGACTTAACCAGGGGCATCATGGTTTCAAGAGAATGCATGGTCTATCCCGCACTCTCATCACAATTCTCACAGTTACAATACACGTACCCTCAGTACCCTTATATTGGCGGTCCATGTGACCAGGGCACTGTGTTGTGAGCTATCATGATTGATCAGGATAACAGATCATTGACAGCATTAGCAACAAGCACGGGGGTATTCTGTGCATGCAACGTTTGGACGTGCAATATTAGCAGGTGTCATATGTGCTGGAAAAATCCGGTGGTATTCATTCACAGTATATTTATAAGGAAGAGGTGTCTACCCTAAGTTTGTAATATTTTTACTCTGTATTCAAATAAATATTTGGTTATAAGATTCAGCTCATGTTGTCTACGAATCAAGAGTTGAGAAATTGCACATTTACATGAGTTAATACAGGAAGTATTCCTGCACAGGCCTCAAGTAGATAATAGTGAAGGAAAGCCAAGTTCTATGGATAGTCAACTAACAGGTACTAACACCGTTATCAAGCAAGTGATACAAAGAGTTGCAACAATGAGAATATATACATAGCTGCATTGTGAGTAAATACAATTGACAATGTTGATATACATTCTAATCACTCTGTACATAAACCTACTCTGCTCAAATCACTAATTAGCAATCCCATGTAGATCAACCTTGTCAAGTGTACATACTCACTATGTAGCTATGTATATATTCTCTTTGTTACAACTCTTGGTATCACTTGCTTGATACAACAGTGTTAGTCCCTACACACTCATTGCAATAAAAAAGTTGACTATCCATAGAACTTTGTTTTCCTTCACTTATCCAACTTCTAAAAGTGTCTCTCAAAGAAGTAAGTATTAGTGACCCGCCAAACCAGTGGTTGATATCGGAAACCCCTATCCCGGCCTGGTGAGGACTGTTCACACTCGGCCAGGACATGCGGTAATACCTCCCCACCCATAGTCGTCTTATTAGACATTCACTGAGGACACAGTTATATCAAACATTAATGATCCTTTACCATGCCATTAAAACTCTCTTACGCAGACAGACATTACCAGAGATTTAATCAACCCTGCAATATATCGTGCTGTTCGTTACGTCAGTAAAGGTGTAACAAACTTGGTTCCTTGCCCTTTGAACACTTTGGAATGCATTTATAGGCATCACAATGATGGTCAAACGAATGTTCCACATAGCCGATGTGAATTATTCTATCAACACATTCAGAATTGTACGCATCATATGGTGTTTACTGCACTCAATAGTTCGTGAGGGCTACATACATCCATAACTAAAATACTACTTTTGTGGTATAATTTAAAGGTCACATGCAACGTAAAACACAACTTTGCAGATTCTGATACCTTTCGGTATGGACTTACCGAAACAAATCGTCAAAAATGCAAATACAACTTATAAAGTTGAAAAATAACGCGATGAAAAAAAACGCGCGAAACCGGAGTTCAAACATGTCACTAATTTTCTGGTTTCAACAGCTGGGCTGCGCTCATAGAACGTGCGCAGTGAAATATACTGAGTCAAAAAAGAAACTGCACATTCTTTCTTCGGGGCACTATAAAAGAACAAGAGAAGGTAAGATGGTTAAATTGTTATTATTTCATTGCTGAGATCTGTGTGATGTACTCGATACACTGACAGTGCCATAATCAGTTCCAATAGGCTACACCGCCGTTCCAAAACATGGGTATACAGACAGTCAAGTCACAAGAATAAAAATGCAAAATGTCTCACTTCAATATCGTGTATGGCCGCCCCGCGCATTAACCACTGCCAAACACCGTCTCCTGATCGACTGCCTGATGCTTGTGAACACGTGGTTGGGGATTTTGCGCCATTGCTCTTGCAAGGCAGTGCCAAGTTCCTGCAAATTCTGAGGTTGGTTCCTAAGACTACGAAGCCTTCTCCCAAGTGCATCCCAAACGTGCTCTATTGGATTAAGGTCAGGGGACC